GAACTTTATTATAGACAACAAAATGAAAAATCAGTTAAGTTAGTTGAAAACTTGACAAACTTGGAGAGAGAGAGAGGGGTTATAAGGTAAAAACCCATATTTCCCTAATGTAACTAAAATCAGTTAAGTTAGTTGAAAACTTGACAAACTTGGAGAGAGAGAGAGGGGTTATAAGGTAAAAACCCATATTTCCCTAATGTAACTAAAATCAGTTAAGTTAGTTGAAAACGTGACAAACTTGAAGATAGAGAAGGGTTATAAGGTAAAACCCATCTTTCCCTAATGTAACTAAAATCAATTAAGTTAGTTGAAAACGTGACAAACTTGAAGACAGAGAAGAGTTATAAGGTAAAAACCCATCTTTCCCTAGTGTAACTAAAATCAATTAAGTTAGTTGAAAACGTGACAAACTTGAAGACAGAGAAGAGTTATAAGGTAAAAACCCATCTTTCCCTAGTGTAACTAAAATCAGGTAAGTTAGTTGAAAACGTGACAAACTTGAAGACAGAGAAGGGTTATAAGGTAAAAACCCATATTTCCCTAATGTAACTAAAATCAGTTAAGTTAGTTGAAAACGTGACAAACTTGGAGATAGAGAAGGGTTATAAGGGAAAACCTACCTTTCCCTAGTGTAACTAAAATCAGGTAAGTTAGTTGAAAACTTGACAAACTTGGAGATAGAGAAGAGTTATAAGGTAAAAAACCCATATTTCCCTAATGTAACTAAAATCAGTTAAGTTAGTTGAAAACGTGACAAACTTGGAGATAGAGAAGGGTTATAAGGGAAAACCTACCTTTCCCTAGTGTAACTAAAATCAGGTAAGTTAGTTGAAAACTTGACAAACTTGAAGACAGAGGAGGGTTATAAGGTAAAACCCATCTTTCCGTAATGTAACTAAAATCAGGTAAGTTAGTTGAAAACTTGACAAACTTGAAGATAAAAATGTATGCAAGTTACACAAGAGCTATCTGTGCTAGCCGTTCTTAATTTTGAATTGATAGATTAAAGGAAAGGCAACTACACACACCGCCAACTCTAGGGCTACTCTAATCGAATACTGGGATTTGAATGTCAATTTATCAACTCACCCAAAGAGCGGAGCACGTTTTGAGGCAGCGCGACGCAAACCACGTACCCTCAGATTTATAGTCCAGCATGCTAACACAAGACCACACCAGACTCTTAGAGAGAAATAAACTTCAGCAGCTTTGATTATGGCTATTATTATTAAATACCCTAAACTAGACTATGAATATGTCAGCGTAGTAGCATCAACCCAAAAGGAAACAACTCAAGGTAAATAACTTAATAGAATAACTCAAGAATCTTAATCTAAACAGGAAGAGACAATACAAGTAAATTAAAGTTATTATGCTTATATTCTTAATTTAGACGGAAATGTCACAGCTGAAGTTAAGGTGTTAATGTGACTTGTTTCAATAATTTTAATGTTACCAAGTAAAAAGTAATCAAACTGCTGTCATATCATAATTTTAACCTACTCAGAACACTACACCTGTTAAATCAGAAATATATCAGAATTTAGCCTGCGCTGCAAACAGCACCAGCGAAATGATTAATCACAATGCATAGAAACAAAATATTTCAAGATTAATATGAAATCAGAAATCAAACTAATGACCTATAAAAAAAAAAAACACACTTGCGCCAGGCGTGGCCCAAGATTCAAGCTGCGATATAGTACTCAACATGCTTAGCACTTTCAGCTCTTGGGACATTATAATCGTGACAGTCAATCCCGCTATTCCGTGAAGAGTAAAGGATGTGGTTACAGTGCATGTATTCGGGATCTTAGGTTAAGCGGTTCGAATTCTGGTAATTCCCTTGAAAGCTTTCTCGTTTGTGACGCAAATGTCTGATATAACACCTGACGACGGCCGGAGAATTCACTGGTCGAAACGTTGTGAAAATAGTAATACACATAATAAAGACGAGAATAATAGTCCGAATAATTATACCATAAATAAATCACATTCGTATCAAAGTTTTGGCCAAGAGAAAAACAGTAAGTATTATAACGAGTTAACCAAATTAACTACAAACTATATTCTACTCAGAAGTAAAAAAAAATAAGTAAAAATGAGAAAGCATGTTGTTATGAGTTTTAAGAAAAAAGACAATTACAGATAGAAACTTGCTGTTTTTTTGTCTTTATTTGAAGAAAATAAAAATATTAAATACAGATTTGATCAGTCTTATTTCGGACTGAAATAATATACCACAGAGTAAATATGTAATTAAGGTTATATCCGAGTCTTAAGGTAGTCAGAAAAGAGCATAAATTCGTTACACTCCAATTTGATTAGAAACTTTGACGCAAACAACCTAACTTAGGATAAAGAATGAGACTCTTATCATAGTTGCAACCTATACATATAAAGACACACGAGGTAACATATGAAAAGGTGAAAATATTAATATACATATATATATATATACATAATATTGGCACACACACACACACACATACATATGTGGTATACAGCATTGGGAATAATTATCGAAATTGTGAGGAAAATGGTTAAAAGCGATATTCAAAGGGAATGTAATCCCTTTATCGTGTGAAAATGACCTGCACCACACTATAGTCACATGTAATCGGTTGTCATCAAACCAATTAGAAAATGTTACACCAGTATCAGTCCTATAAAAGTAAAGCCAACCATGCTATGACCAGTAATAATAGTGTATATTCAATCATTTCTTCC